ATTTTAAATGCAGCATATTGATGCGTGGATTAATGTGCTGAGCAAGAGGTACGCTGCTAAGCCACAAGATTTCGGGAGCGAGAGGATGTGCTTCCTTGATCATCTCTTTTCTCAGCAATGGAGCTTCAACTACTCTGATTTTAAAGAATCGGAGTATGATCACAACGGTTTAGGAAGAAGACTCCCTGGTGGAACATTTAATTATTATTCAGGCGCTATACCAACATTTAATTGTTTGTTTGTTGTAACCTTTTTTTTTGCACAGAAGACTTACAGTTAAGTCATCTGGATTGTTGGACGATTTAACTGTAAGTTTGTGCAGTGACCTTGCGGAACCTCCTTAAATTTGGTAGTGCAAATTCATAGACTTAATTATTAGTCGTCTGAGAAGTCTAACACATACTCATAAAGCCTGGACGACTTAGTTGAAGACTTATAATTAACTCGTCTGGAAAGTCTTCCATTTGGAAGACTTTCCAGATGACTTAATTATAAGTCGTCTGAGAAGTCTAACACAAATTCATAACACATACTCATAAAGCCTAGACGACTTAGTTGAAGACTTATAATTAATTCGTCTGGAAAGTCTTCTAGCTGGAAGACTTTCTAGATGACTTAATTATTAGTCGTGTGAGAAGGCTAACACAAATTCATAACACATACTCATAAAGCCTGGACGACTTAGTAGAAGATTTATAATTAAGTCATCTAAGAAGTGTAACACAAAATCTTAATACATAGATTCATAACACAAATACTTAATACATAAATTCATAACACAAATTCTTAATACATAGATTCATAACACAAATTCTTCTGGACGACTTAATTAAAGGTCTTCTGGACGACTTAATTAAAGATCATTCTTTACATTGTGCTTTTATATGACCAGTTTCTCTGTATACTGAGAATTTATAAACCATGTGTTACTTCCGGGGTTTGCGTCCTCTCATCCGGGATAGCTCCAACCAAGATTGCCATCTTGATTTCTTCTGTCTCCCCGGTCCACGCTTTTCGGCTGGGAGGATCGCATGTGCGTTCCTCAACTTGTTGTCCAACACAAGGATATATATTCTCTGAGTATCCTGCAAAAAGATCGCATGTGTGGATATATGCACACTAGCATGTGATCCAGCAGCTATAGCATGAGAGCAAGGTATTTTCTCCACTTGATAGACACCATAATCACACTTTCCATTCTCCAAATCAACCACACAGTCTATTTTGCCACCTTTCACAAAGAATTTTCCATCCATCAATTGGTTGAGCCCTCATCGTATCCGCTATCTACGATCGAAGAGTAAGCAAGTATTCAACACTCCGACTATGATCTGTTAGGAGACTTAAAGTATCTTCTCTCCTTTTACAAAACCACTTTCCTAGCTTCTCCCTTATGAACTCCAACATGAACTGAATCGGAAATCCTCTAGCTCACTTCAGTGAGGAATTAATAGATTTAGCGATGTTGTTTGTTTTTATGTTGTACTTGTCCCCCTGACAATAAACCCTTGACCATAGGCTAACGCCGGCATTCTCAACATACGCTGCAAGGTCCGGGTTTGCACTCCGTATCTCAGCCATGTACCGGTCAAAATCTGAAACCGTATGAGCATAAGTAGCACCTTTCACCAAGTACAAGAGATGTTTCCTTTTATACTTTTTGACAATGTTATCTTGAAGGTGATACAAACATATTCCTCGGGTTACCCAAGGAAACACCTTATCACACGCACTTTTAATGGCTGTGCGCTGGTCTGAGACTATCACCAGAAGCTGCTCATCAGATACACAAGTAGCCAATTTTGTGAAAAACCATTCCCATGAAGGTCCATCTTCAGCATCTCCAATCCCAAAAACCAATGGAAATATCTGAAAATTCCCATCTTGTGCGGCTGCAACTAACAAAACACCTCCATACTTCCTACTTAGGTGAGTCCGATCCACCACAATGACCCTTCTTTGATACTTAAAACCTTTGATAGAAGCTCCAAAAGAGAGATATAGATACTTAAATCTAATAGAATCAAGTTCTATTGCCGTGATAGAATCGGGATTTGCTAAGGAGATTTGCTCGAGATATGATGGCAGACGCGAATATCCATATTCTGCTGATCCTCTCACCAATATTTGTGCATATAAAAGTGCTCTGTATGAAGTGGTGTAGTCAAGCGTCATGCCAAACATGTTCTTCATTGCATCAGTGATATGCTACAGAGTCAACCCATCAAGGATTCCAACACGATCAATGAAAAGCCTACCAACATACTTCGGAGTACATTGTCTCCGCTGAGCGATTTGGTCTCCCACTGAGTATGTATGTGTTTCCACATACTTTCTTACCCAAAACGTGTTTGTTCCATGTTTCACACTCTCTAAGATCTTCCATCCACAACCACTAACCCGACATGTGGCCACAAGAAGATTTTTCGTTGACTTGTATATTTTGAATGAGAACTTACGTCTTCATGCTGTCAACCGCAGCTCCGAAAGCAGTGCATTCTTGCTAACAAAAATCTAGTAGATATAGATATTGTTACCATTTGATCTTCCTCCTTCAATAACATTTGTCTTTTTGAAATCTTCAAAACACATATCATCATCTTCTTCCTCATCCTCATCTTTAACCTTTCCATAAACATTGTAATCCTCACCATTCTCGGCCGCTTCGGCAAAAATAGAGATATCATCTTCCTTCTCCCCATCATGAATTTCATCTTTAACCAAATCATCATCAACATTTTCAAAACATTCATCAACTTCATCTGCTTCTTCCCTTTCCTCTGAAACCATTTCCACCTTGCTACCGCTTGATACACAAAGCCGTACTCCATGCATTTTTGTTATCTCGAGTAAGTTTTGAACTTGTCTATAACTTGTAACATGAATAGGAGGGATGTCTGGATCCATCTGTTGAATCATTTATGCTGGTAGTGAGTATGTTATCTCCACAGATTATGTGCTCATGTGCAGGTTAAAATCTTTTTAAGCCATTTTGAAACAAGTTCAGCATGTGGCGAACCTTCACTCAAAAGAAACATTCTCGCTCCTTTTAAATTATCAACCACAAAATCCCAACAGCCATCTTTGAACCACCATTCTCCATACATTGCATGTAACTGACACATCATCTACAAAAATTCAAAATAAAACACATTAGTAAACATAGAGAAAATGAAAGTTTACTAAACACTGACGACGTACCAGTAAGTCGTCTAGAAGACTTAGACGACTTACCAGTAAGTGGTCCAAACATGCCATTTTTTGCAATTGACTTTTCAATGGGACGACTTAATTGTAAGTCGTCCAGCTTTGTTTGTTAAAAAAAAAACTCTAGACGACTTACCATTAAGTCGTCTAGGATAAACAGGTTAGTTTTGTATTTGAACGACTTGTGTAAGATATTTGACTTTTCTTTGACGACTTACTAGTACGTTGTCTCTAGGAAAACAAAAAATTCAATATTTAATTAAAGCTAGACGACTTATCTATAAGTCGTCTCAGGTTAGTTTGCAATTCGAAAATAAAACTTAAATATTTTACTTATCTCAGACGACTTACTTTAAAGTTGTCCAATTTGATGACTTACGAGAAAATCGTCCGAGATAAGCAAGGTTTGACCAGAATCTCGGAAAAAAATCTGGACGACTATGCTTATCTTGGAAGACTTTCAAGTAAGTTGGACGACTTCCGTGAAAGTCGTCTGGGAAAAGTAAATATGTAAGTTTTTATTTTCCAATTGCAAAACTAATCTGATACTACTTAAAGATACTCTTCACTTCGAACCCCAGACCTGGTGTAGAAGTTTTTAAACCTTAATCACTAGGCTACGGTCTTTCCACAAGAGAAAATAATAAATTCTCGTGATTTTTGAGTGTGTATAAAGAAAACCAATATCATGTACCAAAGAAGGATACACATTTATTTCATTTACATTTTCTTTTGTTTGCTCCAGTTATGGTTGTTCTGTTAGTGGTTAGAAGTAATAGTCTTAATTATCTTTAATGTAAGAGCAAATTTCATGTGAAATTTTGAAACTTTGATTGTAGACGATTTGAGATGACTGATGAAAGAGTGACAAAACATGAAAACAATTGTATTTATTTGTGCTAATTTTGGCTTATTATCCATTTGAAGTTGGATGTTATATTTCATGTAAATGTAATTTTCGTCGTAACTATGTTGTTGGTTTACTATATATATATTCCCGTACCTTAATTTTCATGTAACCTTTTTTTGTTGCGAATCATCTTTTTGTCTATTAACGTGTTTTTTTTGTCACATATGTATTTATGTTTAGTAATTTTTGGTGTAATGTTATAGGAGATCCATTGAGAATGGAAGGTTTTCATGTGAACGTTATGCATTTATCTTATTAAAAAAATACAAATAAAAAATACCCCTAAAACTTACAATTTATTTACAAATCAGTATCACTAAAATACTAAATAACCCTAACTTTAAATAATTTTGTATTTTATAATTATTACGTCATTTCTTAAAATAATTATAATTAACAAAGAATTTAACAACAAAATAAAATCAACACTATATTTATTTCTTAGGTTTCAACAATATCACAATAAACAAAGTATTCCAAAAATAAAATTAAAATTAAAAACTACTTTATTAATAAAGATAATAAAAGAAATAAACAAATTTAATTAAAAAAAATTTCTTGATCATATTGAATACTTCTTGTTGAGATCAAGTTCCTAGATTGAATATTTTTTGTTGGGATGTTATAAAAGCATAGATTTGATATTTTTAAGAAATGCTCGAACTTGAAAAACAAATCACATGAAAATTTTGTGCAATTTTGTTTTACTAAAATAGATAGAAAACAGAACTCATTCAATTGACTCTTTGTTGAATATATGAAAAAGTGTATTGTAATTATAAAATATTCAAGATTAAAAACTCGTGAATATGAAATGAGATGGAATAGAACTCCAGTTTGTATTTCACAAATTCTCAAATTAGATTCATTTGCATTCCAATTTTTAAGTTCAATTCATTTATAATATTTTTAAAACCGATTACCAGTTACAACCAAACTGTTTACAAATCGTCATGCCTGCTTCATAAGTTCACAGTATACGTTTTTGAAATCATCACAAGAAACAGAGCACTCTGTTTTGTTGAATCCTTAACCACAAACACAACATTGTTGCCTTCTGGTTTCTTTATTTCAGACAAAATACGACAGAGGAGTGATTAGGTATACAAACTATATATATATATACTTAAGTAAGCCTGCATCAGTTTAGAGTGCAGTTTCTGCAGACTGTTCAGGCTTCTCTACTTGCTTCTTCAGAAACTCCAGCACAGAGAGACGCTGCGGCCATGTTATTAAAATTACATCTTCAGATAAATTTTCACTGGCATTCATTAAGTTTTGAGAAGCCAAAGAAAGGAAGTAGTGCAAAAATCTTACTCGTTGCTCGAGAGGAGAATCTTCAGAGTCAAGTTTCAAAGATTCCAGTAGTTTCATGCCTTCCCTGAAACCATCTATGGCTGCATCTTCATTTGTTAGAGTCCTGTCTATATCTGCAACTTTGGCTAAGGAAACTGCCACATCCAGAATCTACAAAAGATTGAAAATATAACAACCAAACTTAGTAAAGGTTTCTTTATTCACCAACGAGACTCTTATCAAACACTTATCTTGCTACAGTTCCAACTTCTTTAGACAAGAAACCAAGTAAATGCCTCCAGAAACAGAGCTTATGATCTATAGTTAAAATGCAAGCGAATCTATAGTTTATGATCTACAAGTAACCCTCACACATGCTATAATAACATGCTAGGATTACTAAAACACTGAGCCAAAACTGAACTAGTATTGAAGGCATATTCTTACTTGTGAAGGAGCATTTGGGTGATGCTTCATTGCATCACGTCTAACATCTAAAGCACGGATGTAATATGACCTTGCAGCTTGTAGATCTTCGTCATAATATTTAAGATCTCCTATTTTATTGAGTGAGACCGAAAGCGTATGTGTAATCTGAAAGTTCAGCAATAACCGTTAGAAAGTGGTAACAATTTGCAAATCAATGCATAAACAAAAACAATGTGCTAAAACCTCCAAATCATCTAAGGGCAGTTTCATAAGGAATTCAATACTCTCTTCGAAATGATTAACTGCAGAACTTGAGTCTCCCATTGCTCGGCTGCAGTAACCAGATAAAGTAAGTTAGTCACTGAACACCATATTCAAAAGCACCAAATCTTAGTAGTCCACAGAAACTCAAGAATCTAGAATGGATAAATGATAAAGATAAAGAAGTTGGGATAGCAAAAAAAAGTGAGACAATGAGCATACCTGCAGTCACCAAGCATACCAAGGACTGCACCAAGCTGTGAACACAGCTCTGGTGTGTTGCCTTCCCTCCCTAGTTGATCTCGAATGTCCTCGGTACACATTGCCAACCTTGATTTAGCACTTTCATAATTCTGAGCTTGAAATGCCTACGCAATACAAGTCGAATAAGAACTCGAGAGAGGAATCATATTGGTTAGGTTGACAAATTCTAGAGATAGAACTCACCCTCATAGCTTGTTGAACCAAGAAAGAACCTCTTTCCATGGAAACATCGGCGTAAATCACCTTTTTGTTATCATCCTCGACCTCTTCTTTATCTGTGCTATTCACAAGAGACCTCTTGATTCTGGCATGGCCTTCAATAAACTGATCAACCATCTTCTGAAGGTTTTCATCAGCTTCAACACTCTCAATGTCAGCACCGCATAGAGGACAGTCCTTAAACCGTGCTAAGCACACTCTGCATTTTTTTTTTTAAGAAAACAGTAAAGTTCAATAACCATCAATCACAAACCAGAAACGAAAAAGGGAAAAACTTTAACACTAGGGCTTACTTGCAGAAGACGTGAGTACAAGGCACACATCTACTGCTATCAAATAGAAGTGATTGACATAGCATACAGCTAAAAGGTCCAAGCTTGAAGGTTTGGGAATCATAACCAAACGGGCACTTGGCAGGCACTGTTGCAGAGTCTTCCTTATTTAATTTTCCTTCGTTTTCAGGACATCCTTCGCTCGCGATCTCGCTTTTTTTTGGAGCAAAGGCATTAGCTTTAGAGAAAGGGCAAGCGGAAGGTGTCGTATCGCCTTGTTTTGCATCGTCGGGACGAGTAGCTTTAGAGAAAGGGCAAGCGGGAGGTGTCATGTCGGCTTGTTTTGGAGCAGAAGCATTGTCGGGACGAGCAGCTTTGGAGAAAGGGCAGACAGAAGTCGTCATTGGTGACAAACCCTACAGCTCAAAAAGAAAAAATTTCAATCCCAAATTAGCAAAACTGATTTTCTCTCCACAACAGATTGGAGCTATAAATTTAACATAGCAGAGTTCAGTAAGAAGCTGAGAGAGAAGTGATGGATATAAACCTGGAGTGGATTGAGATTTAATGCAGGTTTCCTTTAGCTGCAATCAATGATCGATGTGGATATAACTATAGCTTTTGTGTTCTCTCTCTGTTTCAGTCAGAAGAGGATATTTATTCTTGAAGGAAGGATCTGTGTGGATTGAATTGCGTCTTCAGTTTTTTTTTGTTTTTGTTTTTACAACCAAAAATAGCAGAAAGGAGACTTTTACCTCATTCATTACTTCCAATCATTATCCGGTCGGGCATTAATGGTTCCGACAAACAAAGGGAGTCGTGGTTATTGGTAAATTTAGGAAGGGTTGTGTCGCTGGTGGGTGTCTAAATTTGGTTTTACATCGGTTTAGTTAACCGATCAATACAACTGATTCTTCTCAATTATGTAACTGTATCTGGTACCAGAGTTGATTACAATGCGGGATTCATCGGTTTGAAACTGGGTTGTGTTCTTGAAAGAAGATCGAAACTATTTGGTAACGAACAGACAACTATCAAAGATGTCAATGAGCCTTGAGAAAGTAACTGCTTCCTCTAGGGAGCTTTGTCACTGAAAACTCTTATGACTATGGTTACACCTTTTGAAGTCTCGAATCAAAAAGATCAAAACAAATCTTAGTGACTTTTTGTTTATATCAGCATGTCTCTGCTCTCCCTGTTCAAACATGAGACAATGAATAAGCATGATGACTGTGAACATTTCTTGGTTATAAGAGATCAAGATGATTACAGGCTTAGGACCTCTCGTGTTCAATTTTAAAAACCGAGCAGAACAGTACAAGCTGAGGATACGACTTGCATTGTTATGTCTTATGTGTGTTTCACAACAACCTCTCAATTTCAATTCCAATCAGATCATAATTCTTAAAACCTTCCTTTGGACTGCAGAAGCTTGTCTGTTTCGTTGGCAATACAATGCACCCATCGGAATCAGTACGTATCTCAAGACCACACTCATGGCATAAATATTCAACATCCAACTCCTGAAAAATTATAGTGAAAGTTAGCTTAGAACATTTCAAGTTTACCAAGAGTTTATGAATATAAGCCAATACAAGGGAATCTTAGTCCAACTTGCATCTGTCTGTTACCTTCATCATCAGGTTCTGCGATAACCGCAAGAGAGGATATGGTTGAAGCTTGTAGCAAACATTGTTTATGCATTCCACAGCGAATGATCGCATCTTTTATCATTAAAACATTCAGAAAATAATCAATATACTTATACATGTATAAGCCATTTATACCCACCCATATATGAATTTATCTAATGATTTGTTTTCTTTACTATACCAGCAATATATTCTAGTCCAAATCTCATTTAGATCATCATTTAATAAGCCAATACCCCCCTTAAAATGCTACAAAAACCTTATATGAGAACTAGGACAGAGCTACATATGTAAGTCTATACAAGCTCACCTCTCTAATATGGGGTTCACTTATGCAATACTGCAAGTATGTCGCTTCAGAAGCCGTTGTTCGTAGGAAATTCTTGTAATTACCATTCCTATACGACCTGCACGAAAAAAATTGAGGAAATGTCATCATACTTCGTTTAATCTTCTTCTGAATGATGTCGATATAAATGACTCAAACGCAAAGGATTGAACAGTATAACCCTACCTTAGAAGGTTCCGTACAAAGCACATTTCCTTGGATTTGATTAAATTAGAAGTCAACTTGCGAAACCACAAAGACAATGGTTCCCCCTGCAGATAACAATCTTAATGTTTTTATGTAAATGAAAAGGTGTCATGCTAACAAATGAAAAAAAGAGATAAAGAACAAGGAGAAACAACCATCACTCCACTACTGGTATTTAGATGAAGCAGAACATAGAGTGATCGGAACTCTGCTTCATTTTCATAGATGTGATCTGGTTTCCTATTTGCATCATAGATGTTATACAAAGTGGTGAGAGTTTTTGCTAGCTGCTCCATATTCAAGTGATGCATTGAGCTAATATTTGCACCACTACAACCCTGAAGCCTCTGGCGAGATATGGCATGGAATTTAACCTACATGAGAAGCCCCATTAGAGAGTCAGAATAATAACATCAATAGAGTAAACACACAAATGACTTTCAATAAAACTGGATGGAAGTAAATGTAATTCTAACGAAAAAGGATACAGATGTCTAGCGCAAGCTACTTATAGAACTAGAAATGAGAGAAGGAAAAGAAACAAGTAAAAAAAACATACGATTTCCTCGTAAAGGTAGATCACTCTCTCGTTGGCTAAATTCTGGATGCTAAGATCTTGTCTAATAGACCTTGTCCTGTCGAAAATAAAATCATGAACCACTTCAAAGGGGTGCTCTCTTGAGTCCAGCAAACTTAGAAGGTATCTGAGGGTTTCTTCTAAAACCGGGAGTGGTCTTACATCCGATGACTGAACATCAGCTGCTGAAAGAGTTCTGCAAAACTAGCAAGAACACACAAAGAGTATAACTAACTTGGGAAAGGAAAAAAAGAGTGATGCTATACAAGGTGACTGGTATCTCCCAATACAAACTATTTATCCTGATCATTTTACAAAAGAAATTTAAGCTCCTCTACTTTTAGTTGGTTGAATCAAGCAATGGCTGCTTGCACATTATTGACGTGCCAACTATAGAAAAGCTAAAGCCTCAGCTTAAGGTGAAAGTTCCCAATAGAGATATAATCACTGTCTCTTACAAGCAAATCAGCATTTTAGACATGAAAATCCAGATGTCATATCTCAAGCTCACCTTTTTGACAGCTAGATCTGTGGATGATTTAGTGGGGCTTCCATAGAGCCTCTCAAACACTGAGAGATCGCGCAAGCGTTCTCTTGTAACTCTTTCCCGCTCTGTTAATAAGGAAAAGGCAATTCATATCTATTAACTGAAGCTATTTACATCCTTTTTTTAGGATGCTGGAAATTATAGTATACTAACTCATCCTCTTCGCATTTATGAAACGAGACATAAGATTAAGAAGAGACTATGAACACTTAAAGATTTTATAGTTGTCTTCCCTTTTCTTAAGAATTCACACTCAAGAGCCAGCCCATGAATATGATTCTCTGCCCCCAAAAGTCATTGCTCAAGACTTAATGAACTAGACAACAATTTTTTTCCAATTCAAGAAATTGACACTTAACCTAACTATATTTGACGGATGCAAAAAGATAAAGAGGAAACAAGTGAATAAATTTAAAGTGGTTTTGAATTGTCTAGGCTACAATAGATTACAAGAGGACGAGAAGATCCCAAGCTATACGATGTAGTAGCGAGTCCTAACAGATTCAAGGCATCTATACCTCACGAAGGATCATGGATTCCTGAATTGTATAAACTAACCGACCTTTAGCTTCTAGATTATATGCATATTCAGGCGCAGGACCAATAGAGATTGATTGAGGTTGAATAATCTACCTGGACACATAGAAGAGCAGGTTCCGACGATGAAGGCCACGTCAGCACCCTTACTATTATTATTATCTGCTTCATTGTTTCGTTTGTGTGGTGGTAGATCGGATCTTCTCCGAAACGACTCATTAGCTCCGCCGCCGGATCCCGAAGAAGAAGTGCCGCGATTACGTCGATTCATGGCTTAAGAGTTTGAGAGCACCGACGACCAATCCTCCCTCAGCGGAACATGTAGTTTCCCGAACGAGCGAGTCACCGAACTGTTTGCTGGAGTTAAGGGAAGAGAACCGAATCAAATTATTTGTTTACTAATCCGGTTCGTTAGTTTCAGTAACCGAATCCAGAAGTAACAACACATTCAGAGTTGGTTTGGTTTAATAAGTCTAGTACCGGTTCCGACTTGGACTCACTCAGTCACTCTACTGTATCTAAGGACATTTTTAATGGTTGGTTTCATTTTCTGCTTCAAAATGCATTTTATTGAAAATGAAGCAAAAAATGAAGCATGTCTTCTCCAATAGTTTGCTTCATTTATTTCTTGTAAAAAAAATATTCCAAATATATTCTATGTCTACTTTATTATTAATTATTAATAATATCTTCTACTCTTTCATATTTATAAATTTTACTTAATTATTTTGTTTTAATAATAGTTTAACACAATTGTTATTTAATATACATTCAACATTATCATATAACAAATTTATTACATAATATGAATAAACAAACACAGAACATCATATTTTTCTTTTAAAAGAGGTATCTTATATATATTTTTCTTTAAATGATTAATAAAAGTAAAATGTGAGTTTATTTATCTTCCATTACTTTTAAACGAGTTAACGTTGTGAAAAGTAAATATTCTTATACTTTTCAATATAAATATCTAATTAGACGAAAAGAATAGTCGAAATTATGAAACTTATTAGATAATATTAACATATTTAATTTATTTCGATAAAAGGTAAGAATAAGTTAAATTTAAGACCATCTCCAATGGTGTTTCATTTTTTACTTTTTGCTTCATTTTCAAGCAACTTTTACTCCAATGGTGCTTCATTTTTTTGCTTCATACTTTATAAATTATGAATTAGTCCTTAACTTTAACTTATTCTTATCTTTTATCGAAATAAATTAAATATTTTAATATTATCTAATAAATTTCATAATTTTGACTATTTTTTTCATCTAATTAGATATTTATATTGAAAACTATTAGAATATTAATTTTTAAGAACTTTAACTCGTTTAAAAGTAATGGAAGATAAATAAGCTCATAGTTTACTTTTAAATTTTTTATCAATCATTTAAATAAAAATATATATATATATAAGATTTCTTTTTTTTTTAAATGATGTTCTGTGTTTGTTTATTTATATTATGTAATAAATTTCTTATATGATAATTTTGAAAGTATATTAAATAACAATTGTACTAAACTATTGTTAAATAAAATAATTGAGTAAAATTAATAAAGGTGAAAAAGTAGAAGGTGTTATTAATAATTAATGATAAAGTGGCAAAGAATATACTTAAAATATTCTTTTTACAAGAAAGAAATGAAGCAAACCATTGGAGAAGACATGCTTCATTTTTTGCTTCATTTTGAATAAATTGCATTTTTTAAACAGAAAATGAAGCTAGCCACTGGAGATGCCCTAAGGACTAATTCATAATTTAAAAAGTTCAGCTTCAAAAATGAAGCAATACTGTTCATTGCTTCATTTTGAAACAAGAAATGAAGCACCAGATGGTCTAAAAGAAATTAGGATTAACACCAAAGCTAACAAAGATGAAGTATATTAACACCCTAATTGACAAAACATTGATATAAGCATGCTATTTATTATCCAATCAATTGTTTTTAAAAAAATTTAAAATATCATTTACAAAAATGTTAATGCTTTGCAAATGTTATTTGCTCAATGTGCTCATATGAACTTATAGTAGAACATTTACATGTAAAATATATAAAAGTTTTGAAAAAAGTATATCATTAATATATTATATTAAATAATATCAAATATATGTTTATCTCCAAAAATTAAATTTCTATTTTTAGAAATAATTTTGGCAATTAAAATATGAGAAAATGACTAGAATAGACCTAAAAAATTTTTTTATCACAAATATAGACCTTAACAATTAAAATGACCAAAATAGCACTTAAATGTTTTATTAAATATACATTTATACCCCTTGGGTTAACTAATCCTAGATTTTTTTGTTTAGAGTTGAGGAGTGGGGTTTTGGGGATAGGGTTTCGAATTTAAAAAAAAATTAAGAAAACTTAAAATTTTCAAAATAAAAAGTGTTATTTTGGTCATTTTAATATTTGAGGTCTATTTTGTGATAAAAACTTAAAAGAGACTATTTTAGAGAATTGCCCTTAAAATATTTTTAAAACTAATATTTGACATTATAAAGTAATTTATATAGTTAAATATGACTGATTATTTTAATAACAACACATAAAATAATATATATTATAAATTTGAATATATCTACATTATTTTAAATAAATAAGTTACATACCATATATTAATAAGAATATTCAATTTCTGCGTCATACTATTTCTATAGCATATTGATATTGAAGGTGATTGGTTAGACTATAGATGTAGAAATTTACTGTAGAATTTAGACTGTAAATTTTTTTGATATAGTTGTATCTAATGTAACTGTAAAAATTAAATGAGAAAAATATATTCCTACAACAATTCTACATCAGTATTTTTTTGCTTTAGAAAATATGATTCATATAACCACTTTTTATTTTTTTTACTTTAGCTTTAAAAGCTACTTAAATCATGATTGGTGATTTAAATGGTTGTAGATAAAATTAAAGGTAAAGTCACTACTTACAATGCTTGACATCTTAAGCAATACAGAGACATAATGTTATGCAGACAGAAGAAAATCAGAGCCGTTTGAGAAATGTAACATATTGGCAAGTGCTCTGAATGTTTCCTACAGCTCTTTTTCTTTCTACCGCCACTTAGTTTAACAATCATGCTTTAAAAAAATTATTTAAAACTACAGCCCCAAAATTAAAATAGGAAACAAAATGGCTTTAGAAATCAGTTTTTTTAGAGTTTTATATTTAGTGCTGTGAAAATTATTAATAAAAACCTACAGTAATAAAATCTACAATTACAGCAATAGAATCAACAGATACTATTCTAAAGCTAAAAAATAAGTCACAACACTCGTCAATCACCCCCATAGTCAAGTATCTAGAAAAAAATGGAAAAAGATGTGATCCGATTTGGATTAATGTTCCTTTATTAAACTAGAATATATATTTATGGATTTACGAAAATATTTAGCATTTCCATTTCTTAACTATTGCCTTAGCGCTCTATATGTAACATGATCTCATTTGTGAGACTCATCCACGCCAGAGAGATCATTGGCTGAATATCAGCTTCTTTTTGGTGTTATTATTCTGATTTGCCTAAAGACATGACTACTGCTCAACCAGAGGGATGTCTGGGTGAAAAGTTGGATGGTGTTCAAGCTGGTTTAAAGGATGTTTTAGATCGAATTTTGAGGGAAACAGAAATGGTTGCTGCAACTCAAATGGAAGTAGCTCAAGAAACGTCTACAGATTTTGTTGTGATCCCTATTAAAAGAAGCTATTGTGTCATTAAGAAGTTTGACGAGTTCAAGGATCAAGCAACAGAGATTCATGACTTAGGTATAGAGGGAGAAGTTGTTATTTTCAAGGTCCAGCCTCAAGTTTCTGAGAAACGACAGCCCAAACTTGTTTGTGAAAACCAACAAGTTTTGACTAATACTCCTCCAACTCATCTGGATTTCGATGAGGATGATTTCATTGTTTTTGAAGGGCGTGCTCTGGAGTGAACTCCTTGGGTTTATTTGGTCACCTTCCGAGTCCAGCCTTGAGGACAAGGCTGTTTTAGTTTTATGTTCCTTAGGATTTCTATATCTTTATGAGCTTAGCTTATTAGAGTGCTTTCTTTTATGATTTAGTTGAAAGATGAGATCTTGGTTGTGAGACTCATTCAAGGTTAGAGAGAGTTCTGGAGGGATATTGGTAAAGTTTTTTCAAAGCTTTGCACCAATGATCAAATTCAAAACCCAATCTAATTAGGTTGTCATTCGTAACTTTATTATATTATTGAGATTTGAGATCAAGTGACAAATCGACCGGACATGAGTTTTAAAATCCATCCTCACACATACAAATCTTCCACAAATTTGTAGCATCACAACACAAAATCAACAACCTCTCAAGTCTCAGGCTTGAAACTACTGAGAGCATTTCCCCAAGTATGCTTTCCAGCCTTCAACACGATACTCGTGAGCCGTCTCTGCTGGACTTTCCGCCTTTATGATTCCCCTTCCCACAATAATTATATCACTTCCCCTCTCAGTAATCACCTGAAACAAGACAGCAAGAGCAAACAACGTTATATTCCAGAGATCACCCGCCTAAGGTATTAACTCTGAATGTAAAGGTTGTGGGGAGAGACTCACAGAGTGTGGAGTGTTATACTGTTGACCAAGTGCATCACCGCCTTTCACCATTTGAACACCAGGCGTTGCATGAATCATAGATGGATATACATACCCACATTTCCAAGACGCCGGATTAACCGAGATGAATCCCATCACGAAATCTGAATGAGCCTCTGCGATCTTCACGGCTGCTGCAGTGTAGTCTCCTGTAGCAAGGTTACCAGCAGAGCTCATCTCAGCTAGCAAAAGAAGACCCTTACCACGAGGCAAACCCTGAAACCGCAGAACGCCCTCAAGATGTTAGTAAAAATGAAATAATCAAATGAGAATTCAGTAAGAAATGAATACACATATACCTTCAACTTCAGGCCATCCACGATTCCTGGTCCTGATATTATGTGAGCGTTTATAATATCAGCCCACTCTAATATTTTAAAGACGCCTCTGCAATCAAATCACAGCAGATAAGCTTTATCAAAATCATCAATGAAGAACAAATGACATAACGGTAGAAAACTTACCCTTCATACTGCATTGTGACGGTGTTACCAATGTCTGCAAACTTACGATCCTCAAATATGAGAAACTTGTGCTTGTCTGCGATCTGAAGTAACATCAACGGTTGATCAATGAGTATTCAAAAAGGTTAAATCTTAGTGAATCAAGAACAACTGGATGATCTAAGGGGGCCTAAAAGAACGTCATTATAGCACAGGAGACATTACAAGATTCTTTGTGTAACCAGACCATTCAAACAATCCAGATGTATGTAAATATTACCGCACGGAGTTTAGCGCCAAAGTCAGGGGTGAAATCAGGCAGAATGTCAACATGAGTCTTCAACATGCATATCTCAGGTCCCACCTTCATAAACATTTCAAAGATCACCAACACATAAACCATATGACTGGTCCAAAAGACAAAAAAGACCCATTACCTTGTCAGCAATGTCAAGCAACTCAGCAGCAGTACCAACATCAGCAGCTAAACAAAGATTAGTTTCCTTCTTCAACATAACCTCAAACAGCTTTTTCCCCATCGGATTCCTACAAAGCTCCGACCTTTCCTTAAACCCCAAAACCCTAGCCTCAACCTTCACCTTCTCCAAACTCGGAACACTGACCCTACGATTCTCCTCCAAAAACCTAATCAAATTCGCCTCCACCTCCTCCTCAACCTTCCCCTTCTCCCTCAAAACCCTAACCATCTCCGTCAACTTAATCATCGAATGCAACCTAATCCCATTCTCCTCCAGATTCTCCCTCCCACCCTGCTCCCTATCAATCAACACCACAGCGTCACTAACCCTAAGCCCAACGGCCCTTAGAGGCGCCGCCGTCTCCAACACAGAGCCACCACTCGTCACCAGATCCTCGATAATGAGGCAAGTTTGATCCTTTTCGAAGACGCCTTCGATGGCTTTGGAGGTGCCGTAGTCTTTGATCTCCTTGCGGCGCATGAGCATGGGGATGGAGTTGGAGACGGAGACGACGGTGGCGATGGGGAGGGCGGTGTAGGGGACGCCGCAGACGACGTCGAAGGAGGTGGAGGGAGGGAGGGAGGAGATTAGGGTTTGGGAGATTTGGGTGAGGAGGGAAGGGTAGGAGACGATGAGGCGGAGGTCGATGTAGACGGGGGAGTAGATTCCGGATTTGAGCTTGAAGTTTCCGAATTTGACGGCGCCGATCTCGTGGAGCTCGAGGATTAGGGTTTCCATGGCTGACATTTTCGTATCCGTCTGAGGTTTTGGGAAGGGACTCAGCAGTGACTGCACACTGGAGAGTGAGCGAGCTATTTATACTTTAGGTTTTGTTTATGGGACATTTAACCACAAATTCCAAAAATAAATATAACCAAAAAACATATTTTAGAAAACTAATGTATTTCTCTACATTTTGCCTTTTCAAAAGAGAGATTATTCTCTAAAATGTTATTTATTTCTTTAGATATAGATGAATGACATATATTCTTTTAATATGATAAAACTAGTAATTAAAATAATAAACAAAAATGTGTTGGAAAAAAAACTTTATCAACTAATAATAGCAATCCTCATTAATTCCAAAGATTGTGAATCTTCATTATATTGAAAGGTTGTATCTTTTTAATATTTTAACTTTGTTTTGAAACAATGTATCCATCAAAAAGTAAGTTATTTTGAAAGAATGTGTCTATTCATAATTTTTAATATTTTAATAGTTTTGAAACAATGTGTCTGTTCAAAAGTTAGTTAATTTGAAAAATGTGTTTGTTCAAAGATATATATATATATATATATATATATATATATATATATTTTTTCTTAAAGGAGGTATCTATTCGAATTATATATATTGTAAGAGTAATTTTGTGTTTTCATTTTTAATATTTTAAGTTTGTTTTAAAACAATGCGTCCGTTCAAAAGTTAGTTGATTTGAAAGAATATATTTATTCAATAATTCAAACATATGTGCCTTTTCATTATAGTTTTATTCATAACTGTTTATTATATTTTTTATTCATAATTGTTCATGGTATCTTTTCGTTATAATTTCATTCATTTTCTTAAGAAATTCTATTAATAATAGTAATCATAAGTAATTCAAACGGATCTTTCTTTTCATTATAACTTTATTCATAATTGTTCATGGTACCTTTTCGTTTATAACTGCATTCACTATTTTTAAATTAATTAATTAAAAAATACAATTCTTAATGATGCGTAGACATATAAAATTTGATAAATTCTTAATTAATGCAATTTTTAGGATGAAATCACACAACCAAATAAAATAGAGTCAGCTGTTAAATTTTTTTAAAAATATTTTAAAGCTAATTAAAAAGTTATGACTCTTCAAACAAATACATTTTATAATAGGGAACTTTTTTTTATTTAACAGTTGACATCAATTAGCGTCTTCAATCCACCAACTCGTACATCGTCAAAGGCGACGCTTAGAGAATATGCTGAACCGTCGTTTTTTTTCCACAAATTTATTAATAGAAAAAACCTTTTTTACACTTCATTCTCCTCTTATGCGTATGTGTATCCGGGAAGACAAGACAAGACATGGCGGTGAGACCAATCACCCTCCGCCACCACCGGGGCCATGTTCTATCGCCGGAGGAGCAGCCCACGATATCACAGACACGTTAGGTGCCGTCACGTCCATTGCGTTGGTGTTACCTATCGGTTCGGTGAGATGGAGAGCATGAGCCGAGAGGGAGAGAAGGCGTTCAAGCCGGAGCCGCCATGTTCCTCACCACACTGATTGTAAATATGTATCATGTTAACCCGTGCAAGTGGGCTAGTGGTGGGACGATGTTCAGCTGAGAGAGCTTCGGCCTCAATACTCTGGCTTCAAATGCCCACAGCTGAAAACATTTGCCCGGGCCACGAGGGTATTCACATGGGCTGCTCTCGCCCTCCAGACCACTTCGCGCAACCAGAGACCCTTAAGTGAAGGTTTAAAAATCCTGTAATAGCATGGGCTTAGGCCCGGTGGGCTAGTCGATCACGCTTAGTGGTCGGATACTGGATTATCAAAAAAATATATGTATCATGTTGTCGCCTTGTTGGAGAGCCATCGATGCTACGCTATTGACGTTTCATATCGGTTGGTGAGAAGGAGTACGTGATCAGTTATGATAAGGTTTAGGGCCTTATTCCTCTTTTTCTTGTGATACAAATAACCAGTCTAATCATAAACCCTATAATTAATTGTCTTTTGTCATAAAAATGAAGGTTACAAAAGAGAACTTCAGTTGGTAACCGCTTCTTTTGCAACTCTTAATTGGTATCTTTTAAACACACACCTTTTAGATCAATGTATTAACTTCTTTAATTTGCAATTTTTAATTGATATATTTTAAGCACACATACCTCTTAGATCAATATATTAACATGTACTATAAATCTTAACTAGGATTATACCCGCGCCTTGCGCGGGATGAGATAAATTTGTTGTATTTTTGAAGATAAGAAGACATTATATCTGTTTTATTTGCATATTAGTTTGTTTTGGATTGGTTGTTTCGGGTTTTAATATCGTCCAATTATATATCTATATTATAAATATTGTCTTTTTGGTTAAATTGCGATTTTGATTTTATGGTGATAACACAAAGACTAAAATTAATTACGAATTTGTTTTTGGAGAGGCCTCACTATGGTAAGTCTCTATGTTAAGGAAGATGAGAAATCTAATATAAATAAAATAAACTCAATTTCCATTATAATAAAGATGCATAATCTCATTCTTCCAAAAATAAATAATGGTCTAAATATAAATAGGTATTATATAAAAACAACTTCAATCAATAATTAGATAGAATAACTTCAAAACTTCAGAAATCGATGATTGGAATCCTGCAAAGACATGAATTTCAATATATGAGGAAGAACAAAGTTTTTAGTGTATATACACACCTACAAAGCTTTATAAAACCAACTAAGTATAATGTGCTTACTGCGATTTGAAGAACTGAATCTCTGGGATGTCAGTACCAAACGGAATTTCAGAAACACCTTTCATGTTTGTAACATAAGTGAGACCACCTATAAAGTAATATCAACAATAAGTATAGAAACCATACATTTCTGAATAGCAAATAGTCAAATTAAATATAGATTACATGCTCCCCATTCAATTCGCCATAACCTCAAAACACATGCTACAACATCTGCAGTATTAGAATGCCAGAAATCATTTAAAATACGGGCTAGAGCACCATGAGCAACACACCTCACTTGAGTGTACCTGTTACATTTTTATTATATATCAGTCAATATAAATTGTACAAACATGGTCGTACTAAGAATAAACAATTGTAAATGTCTGAAAAGTTCAAACCCGAGATCGATTAAGGAGAACTCCAACGAATATAGAATAGTACTGTAACCGTTGGCAGGTTGATATGTCTTATTAACTATAAGATCTCCTACATGGACCAATGCTCCACATAGATCTACATAAGAAAAAATTGTTTCAGATTTTAGTACCATTAATTAACAATCTAAGAAAGGGTAAAGCATACTNTATTAACTATAAGATCTCCTACATGGACCAATGCTCCACATAGATCTACATAAGAAAAAATTGTTTCAGATTTTAGTACCATTAATTAACAATCTAAGAAAGGGTAAAGCATACTTAACATACCAATGCAGTACATAGGATGATAAAGACCCCGATTGATACGACGGAAGTTTGCACAGCATAGAAATTTAGAACCGTTGACTGGTTCTATCTTTCTAAACAAACTCGCTTCATTGAACTTGATTGTGTACTTTTGCTTTGTGGTTCTATAAAGCTGAAAAACCCTTCTTATCTCAAAATTGAGTATCTCAACCCAATCACCTTCTTTGAGCTCAATCTCGTTAGGTAGAGACAAAGAATAGCTTAAGCTCCCTTCAATTCTTACTCCCTGTTTAAAACAAATAGTGAGTTCAGAATTTGGTATAAATGTGATTTATAAGACATTCATTAAAATATAAGATAACTTACTTTCGAATCTCCTAAGAGCATGGTTGAATGATGATCTCTTCCAATTTTCGTACTCCATTTTCTAACGATCTTAACACGGATTGCAGGGAATTGAATCTTAGTATTCAACTCACTCAAAGAGATGAAGTTAACCATCACGCAAACAATGTAAGAGATTCTTCTATTATGTGTGTTTTCAGGTTTAGTTAGGATGCTTAGCGTAAAGTACATATATATATATAGGTTTCTTCTGAACATTAAAAGAGATTTAGTAAGATATATAGTCGATATATTGGTCAGATCGTAATAGGCAGTTTTTTGTATATAATTCCTAAATGCATATGATTAAAATCTCCTATATATTCTATTTTTTTATTCATAAATTTACTTTCTTAGTAGATGAATATTATCTTCCTTAAGTATAGTAATGGTTTGCTTTTCAGAAAATATTTACATCTTTTTGTCCCAAATAAGGATACCCCTAAAATGATGTATCTAGGAATAGAACACAATTCGGGAAAGATAAGTGCATTAGTTTGCTTGGGAGACTATTACAGAGCATTTGAAGATAAGAAAACATTAAATCAAGTGTATTGATTAGATCTAAGAATTCTCACCACGTTCTTCAATGCTATCACTTATATCAGTTGCAAAGGTACCCCACAACACCAGAGGCAGACGTTCATCCCTAAAATAATATACAAACATGTATATCTTAGATCATTGTCATCACGTCTGCTATCATGAATAATCATACAATATAAGGAGAGCCATACTTTTCATTACGAAGCTCCACAAAAATTTTATGAGTTTCTTTACCATTAGCTGATACAATTTCAATAGGAGTCACCTCAACAATCTGACCTATGACATCTGAGACAAAAAGATATGAGTTATATCATCTGACTATACATTCATATATTAAATGAAAGCACCGGAATCATGTTACTTACCAACCAAATAGTCCGTACTGAGTGTACCATCAAGAATGTCCATGTAGTTAAGTGGTTCAAAACCAGTTAGAGCATTGGGCAAATCATCACAATTCCTCACGCGTGTTGTCGACAGAAAACCAATTCTGTATGGATGTATGGTTGTTCGGTACGATCCACAAGAAGGCTTTAGTGAAAAGTTGATGAGAATCTTTGAACTTCCTTGTGAAAGGAATGAATCGAACTGATTAACCAGATCTTTTTTCACAGTAGCATTAATTTTAACACCCTACAAAAAGCATCAAATATAGTCAAAAATTATATAGGTTCATTAAACATACTAAATATTACTAACGTGAATAGTAAAGGATGCTTACGTTCTCATCGATTAGAATCATCTCAATTGTTTCTCCACCGGCTGCAGAATACTGCTTCCACAAACGAATGATCTTTACCCTAATCTTCCACATAGACTTGAACGGTTTCAAATCTGACACAACAGTAAACACAGCCATTAGAGAAAGATGAGTGAACAATAACTGGGTTTTCGTTTAGGTTATGAGTCCTAATGATGAGAACAACGTTTATTATATAGGGGATAATAAACCTAATGGACTTGGACCACATGATAATTAAATGTAAAGATCCTCGCTTTGGTGAGTAATTTACTTCGACCACAAGAATGTCAATATTGCCATAAACCAAACTTTTTAAATAAAAGAAAATATCCTATCATCATTAATAAACCTTGCCAAACACTCATATACTGCAAACCGGCCAAGAAAACATTAACCGTTTCAATTCAAAGAAGAGTAGTCGAAACCAACGGTTCTATCCGAGTAGTCGGTTCGAAATCAGAGTAGTCCAAACCAAATGGTTTAACCAAATAAAAAAAGGAGTTCTCGGTATAAACAAACTATATCAAATACATATTCGGAAGTTCATGCTATGTACAAGAAAATTGCATTTTATATATTTTCAGTAAAGATAAGTCAAATAGGTTTCTTTGTGAAGACGAAGATCGTTAGTGACCATGCTTTCTCGTAAATATGAATATCGTTAGGGACCATGTATAATCATGGACGTGAATATGCAAATAAGTAGTAGTATATACTAATAACATTTTTTGGTTAATTCTTCTTTATTTTACGGCTGTCTCCAACATGCAGAGTATCAGTATAACCCGAAAGAGAAGGTGGGATTAGACCATGCAATCAAGCTTTCGAGGCTGATAAGTTCAATATAAGCGGGTCAAGGAAAATATGGGAATGATAGTTTATCAACTGTTACTTCTTCAGCTCTTACATCAAAAGCTGAATTCTCAGATTTGTCAAACTTGGAAAGAAATAGCATGACGGTATGGACACTACAGTCTACATAAGAAAGTAACTCGATAAGTTGTCTTGTGAATTCTTTCTAATTAAAGTATTTCGTGTGTTTTTAAAATGTAGCGTTTTTGCAACTCTCGGAAAAGTTGATAGAGACGAAAAAGTAATACTCCAATTAAAGATCATGAAGAAAACATTATTCCGGTTGATAAACGTTTTTTAAACGTATAACTTTTGTCTCATATATCTGTTTTTTGTCATCCACACGACATGGACACACGTAAGATGGAAGTATATTACTGTCAACACCATTAAGATTATTGAGACAATCCCAAATCTCCTTTTAGTCTCGAGATGGGTTGCGAAAAGGCTCATTTCGAGAAGCAAATTCTCGACTTGTATAACGAAATCTCCAAGCTCAAGAGCCTTAAACCTTTCACATATATATGTCGACAATTTGTTCAATAGCTCATGTCCACGTCCTTGCCTATAAATACAAATATCGACGTTGAAAACTTGTGCCCAAAAGTCCAAAACATCAGAACCAATCTCACCAACCTACGTAGTGAAGATATAGAGTATTCAGAGCACCACTACTATACGGCCTTGGGATCTCTCGAAGACAACACACTTCACCATTTAGATCTACCCTCTCTAAACGTTTTTTCATACGTATAACTCACATAACATATATCTGTTTTTTTTTTTGTCATCCACACGACATGGACATACGTAAGATGAAAGTATATTACTGTGAACACCTTTAAGAGTATTGAGACAATCCCAAATCTCCTTCTAGTCTTGAGATGGGTAGCCAAAAGCAAATTCTCGACTTGTATAACGAAATCTCCAAGCTCAAGAGCCTTAAACCTTTCACATATATATGTCGACAATTTGTTCAATAGCTCATGTCCACGTCCTTGCCTATAAATACAAATATCGACGTTGAAAACTTGTGCCCAAAAGTCCAAAACATCAGAACCAATCTCACCAACCTACGTAGTGAAGATATAGAGCATTCAGAGCACCACTA